TTTTGTAAATTTGTTCTAGGATATGTCGAGGAAGATATTTTGCAATTGAATATAATGGGCTGGTATTTTTGTTTATTTTGCTTATAATTTCGTTTACATGTTCGTGGAATCGGAGATCGTGAGAAAACGTCAGTCCAAGGTGTTTATGAGTCTCATCTTTCGGTATAGGAGTGTCAGCAAAGTGAAGTGTCGGCTGTCGGTGTGACTTTTTAAGTGAGAATGTTTGTTGACTAGTTTTTGCTGAATTGAATGAAATGACCCAGTCTTGTCCGTACAGGGTGTAACGAAATTATCCGGACATCTATTTTTTCGCCATATCTGCTCGCACAGTTTCTCTTTTAATGTCAGAAGCTGGAAAATTGGATGAATGCATACCTCTGGTATCTGCTCTCAACTCAGCAGTGACCTGACCTTGCGAAATGACTCTTGCTCTGAGTAAGAGTCGAGTCGCCGACGGGTTCATTTGATAGTTTTCGTTTAAAAGGCAGTGGAGAGAAAGGAGTACAGTCTCTCGTTTCGTAGTAAGGCTACGTGTTGGTGGCATGGTGGCATGAGCCAGAAGCTGGTCTGTCAGCAGCTGGACATCAGCAGCAGCCAGTAGCACATCTGCCTGAGGCGTAATACGCTGGGACTTGGTGGCAGACTCAGCCCGGCCTCGATCGCAAAAGGCGCCCTTTGCCAAGTGGTGAGGAGAGTTGTCAAGATAGCGACAAGGAAACGGCACCAATTAATCCGCATACTGACTCGAATTCTTACCAAGGCAGATAATAAGAGGTCCAAAATCATGATTCACCGTTACCCGCCCTTTAGCTTGGTTTTACTGCCCTTTAAACTGGAAAAGACAATGAAATTGACGGGAAAACAACCAGTCCACCACCTTTGGCTTCAGGCCAGGGCGTGTCCACTGGTCGAAGGAAGACACGAATGAGGTGACCTGGTCGGATGGGAAGCTGTTCCAGCTGCGATACCCGTTGAACCGTCAAATCGGCCATGTGTGGGCTGCCAGCAGCTCGAATGTGCCGGCCGTCGCCGGCGTCAAACATCCGGCCAAAATCCAGACCTGGAGCATGTTCAGCTGCTGTGTAATATTCAAGCTGTTCATGACGACACAGAAAACCACTATCAGTGACGAGTATTACCGGCGCAACATCCTGGCTAGCGATTGGTTGGAGCCACTCAACCAGACGGCACAGGATGGCTCGGTTTCTGAACGTGTACCGATGCCTGATTCAAGCCGCGCAGTCTTCATACGGGGCGGCGCACCACCTTCAAGTCCCTAGCAGAATGAGAAGTGATGCCGAGAGGACCTTTTTGTTCTTCTGGGCTAAAGGGCTATGGCTTGGAAATAGTTCCCAAGCAATTCCATCGATATATTATGGACTATTGTCCATCAGGAGATGAATGAGGGGACACCCGCCACCAGCGCCGCCCAACTGCGGGCACAGGTTAGTAAGGCGCTACTCTATATGAAACCCACTGTGCTGGAAAATCCAGTGGCTGGAATGCTCCAAAAATGTGTACCTGCGGCCTGCGCTCTTATGAAAGGTGGCTATATAATAATTCAAAAGGGAAAATATCAGAATGTCTTGCTTCTTAATTACAGCGCGAAGAAAGATGTCCGGATAATTTCGTTACACCCTGTATTTGTAAATTTCGTCTAAGTCTCTTTGTAAGGTCGTTTGGGTGTTTTGTAGTGTGTCTGGTGAGTGGGAGGCATATAAAGAGGTGTCGTCTGCGAATAATAAAATGTCGTTGTATGTGCGTTTTGATAGATCGTTTAGATAAATTAGTGCTAGAAGAGGTCCAAGTACCGATCCCTGGGGGCATCCTGCGTTAATTTTGCGTTGTTGAGAAAAGGAATTTCGAATTTGTACTCGTTGTAATCTGTTACTAAGGTAAGATTTTAGCCAGTGGAGAAGTGTTCCTGAATATCTATATTTCGCAGACGTTTCAACGACAAGGCGTCTTCGTCAGTGCAAATGAAATGAAACTTAGTACATATGTTTAATTAATTAGCATATTCGATAGCATATTCAATAGGATATTCGACAAATATTCGATAAATTACTATTCGTATTCGTTCAATCGTTCACATGAAAAAAAAAATCCGTATGAACGTATGGGTTGAACGTCGTATGAACGTCTGCGAAATATACATACAGGGTGTCTCAAAAGTTCGTTCACAGGTACCAGCCATGCTTTTTTGTCAATAATTCTGAATCAACAAGAAATTAACAGTCGAAATTTTGCATGGGCATTGGTGACAGCCTTCCTCAAGCAGTCTCATTGTTTTCAAGTGCATTCGACCCTTCATGAGCTCACAAAAAGGGTTCACCTCTGACCATGGGTCAGGCACGAAAATGTAGGTTGCAAAGTCGGGTATGTTGTGAAACTCTCTGTTTCAGGAGTAATGGGAATGGTTAAGTCGGAAATGACACATGGCTATGTGTCGGCGAGGATGAGTGCAACATGATGATCATCTCATAAAAATGGTGGCTAAAATTTTTGAAGGACGAAACCATGCGAGACTAACGGCGTTTTGAACGACCCTCGCACGACAGCAGACTCGTGTTCCGGAAAGCAGCTGAAAGTGCGGTCATAACTATTAAAAACTGGCAAGAAGGTCACAGACAGAGGTTACCCATTTTAAAAAAGTGCAGGTCATCGTAAAATAAGGACAATTAATAATTTAAAATTGTTTATAATATCTATAACGCTAATTTTTGGGGACAATAACACAAAAATCGTCAATGCCAAGGACACCTGACCCTCCAAAAGTGTCAGTTATTGTAAAATTTTATCTAACGAAGTTTCAAGAGGCAGATCTACAGCGAATGATTTTCTTTTAAACACAAAATCCCGCTAAAACCACACGATGGACAGGTTTGGGCCGTTTACAAAGCAGAACATCTCCCGAGGAAAACACTCCGCAACCGAGCGAAGGTCTTGGCATGGGGAATGACGAGCGCTTGGAATTTGCAAAATTTGCACAATGTGTCTGAGAAACAGACGTCCGACACATTCTGCTACCATATGATGCGAAAAATTTACTCCTGGTACTTTCCGTTTGTTCAGGAATGGGGTCGTTTTGAAAAGGAAAATGGCGCTTGGGATGTCGGCGCCAGTCATTCATGAAGGAGTTAGCGCCAGAGAATGCCTACAAAATACTCAAGAATGGTGTCGATGCAAGCTGTCGGCTTTCAGGGAAAATCAGATGTTGCCGGGGAGCTAGTCAAAACTAAATCCGATGCAGAAACTGCAGGGGATTCCCCTGCAAGAGCTTGAAAGCTGGTAGCCTTTTATCAGCCTCCGGCAGCTGACGGAGCAACAAAAATCGGTATGGGCAAATATTTTTGGAGATACAGCAAAGGGGTTGGTTTCCAACCTTCTTAATCAGTTGTCAAAGCATGCATATTTGTCTAGTGTACACACAGACACCAAAACCTTATACTTTTGGCCGGTTCTTATATGCTTTATTGGCATGGGAAATGTGTGAACGAACTTTTGAGACACCCTGTAGATATAAAGATTTGAATTGCACTGTTTTGTCGTTTGTGTACATGAAACAATGTCTTCTTACTCTTTGGAAGTGTCGTCTCTTGTCCCTTGAGCATTCTCGACATTGTTAACGTATGATCCTTTTATGTAGATTTCTTCTCTAGGTAAAGTTGTTTGTGGTGAAAGGTGAATGAATTAGACGGCAGGTCAGTCAGAGAGTCATGCTGGTGGATCCTTCTGGCGGTCTTGGACGCCGCGGGGTAGGGGGGAGAGCACACCCCAAAAATTATCCGAATTCCAAAAACTCATCGGATTTCGATTCCTTGCGCATTGCTGTGCCGTTTAGGTACAACTAACTTTTGCTCATAAATGTTGTTAAGCCTTTGATTTATTCTCCAAAAACCGTCAATTTTCCTCGATTTCGGGCGCTGCGGGGGGACATTTGCCTCTAATGTTATTTGCCCTGGATCCGCCAATGGAGTATCAAAGAGCGCAAGCCATAGACCCCAGAAACGGCGGATCAGGTCAGGGAATCGTACAAATTAGCATCGGTTCGAGAGGTCACCGCCGCAGAATCAGCGGGTCAGGGCAGAGAGCCGCGAATCGGCAGGTCAGGGAGCCTTAGCCTCAGGCCCTCAGCCCGCACACACGACGTGGGCGGGACCTCAGTTAATGTGTATTGTGTAACTCAGTCTCCCAGTATGGTCATTGAAGTCTTGACAGCACACAACCCGTCAGTGAGATCTCGGCCCGACGCGGCGGCCGGCGTCCTCGATGACGCCGGGGATTGACATTGGAGCGCAGACCGCGGGACGGTCCCCAGTCCCCCACGGAGACCTGTGTGTTCACACGGTCACACGGTCGGCGGCCGGGGGCGTGTCGCCTGTCACTGGCGGCGTGACGAGCCGCGCCGGCCAGCCGCCACCTGGTGGGAGCGGTCCCGGTGCACACGCCGCCGGCTTCCTGTCATTACCGGCGGAGGGAGGAGGGAGCGACCGGTGGGCGCGTCCAGTGGCCATCGCCGCGCGCTGTACGCACCGCCTGGACAGCAGGGGCACTCAGAGGTACCGCACCTTCATGCCACACTAGTGACCCTAGATGCCTTGTTCCCGTAGCACAGCCTCTTCGGTTAGATTATTACTAACAGAAGGAGCGTCATCTAACCCGGTTCAGCCGATGCGGTATCCAGCAAGTAAAAAACATCGAAACGGCCTAGTCACCTACCAAAAGACAGTAGGAGACCTTTAGACTCCCAGTCATCTACGATTCATGCTGCAGCGCCGATCTCTGCTCGATGCGCCGGGAGCGGGCAAACATATCCGTCTCGATGTCAGCCCAACTGAATACCGTTTTCTCCCGACTTATGAACGCTATCCCAAACAAAACACGCCATAGAAGCTGGGGTGTTTTAGAGGTGCCCATGGGACAATGCAGAGCTGTCTAAATGCACATCACTTCGGGGAGCAGCGCCAACAGCCGCAGACGGCGCGGTCGGTACTCACCTGACGTAGACCACCAGTCCGTTGCTGGTGACGCGATTCCAGCCCTCGGGTGCCGTCACTGAGTGCACGCCGGCCAGCCGCGCCGGCGGCGACAGGCTCTCCTGGCTCAGCGAGCTGCACGACGACTCGGCCGCGTCCGAGCGCACGGACTCGCAGCGGCGCGGCGAGCCGGGCGTCGGCAGCCCGCCCACCATCACCGTCGTCACATAGTTGCTGCCGTCACCAGTCGCCGCGGATACGGCGGCGGCGGCGGCCCGAGGTTCCGCCCAGGCCGCCTGCTGCTGGTGGTACTGCAGCTGCTGCTGCTGCAGCTGCCGGTACTGGAGCTGCTTCCAGTAGTCGATACTGGGCGCGGACGGCGGCGGGGCGCCGGACGGCCAGCCGCCGCCCGGCGGAGGCGCGCTCATCTCCTGGTCAGACTGGCAGCGCCTCCATCGACGGCGCTGTGCGCTGCAAGACGAGACACGACCATCAGAGAGATCAAACACCAAAAGCTGCCTTTCCGGAGAATGGCATGCATAACAAACCACTGCAATGAGCATTGTAATAAAAAATCAGCTTCAGAGACTGTCTTTAGAGATGGCATTGCTATCAGTTTCAATATGTAGCTGTTTCATTGTCAATCGCAGTGATGAAAGATAACTAAATCATCATAATAATGAATATATTCCTGGGTAAAATCTAAAACAAATAGAATAGAGTCAATTAAAACCAGGGCTGCGAAGTCGGAGTCGGAGTCGGAGTCGGTCGGAGTCGACAGTTGTGACCGGAGTCGGAGTCGGAGTCGGAGTCGATTTTAGAAACCCGAGCCGGGGTCGGAGTCGGAGTCACCGAAAATCTGTCGACTCCGCAGCCCTGCTAGGTCTGCGGAGTCGGAGTCGGGAGTTGGAGTCGGTCGGAGTCGACAATTCTGCCCGGAGGCGGAGTCGGAGCTGGTTTTTGAAAGCCGGAGTCGGAGTCGGAGTCGCCGAAAATCCATCGACTCTGCAGCCCTGATTAAAACTGATGATAGACTAAATCTGGAACTGTAGCCACTTTTAATTCTATATTTTACTTAGGAACATAGACACTGTTACGATGTCTGTTTACTTTAAGCAATTCAGCAGCAGGATCGAAGCGAGATACAGGTTTCATGACAAGTCAATTGTGTTTATCTTGTCAAGACTAATCGCAACATGACCTTTTTGGGTCTTGTTGTGACCTTGACCTGAGGTCAAATTTTCAATTTGAGGTTTTGAGTTCATCTTATATATCATTGATAGCCTTGAAATGCCGCACCTTGATGAAAGACATGCAATGGTGATGAAATTATTGATGTAGCTTTATTGTGTGAGAAGCTATGCCAAAAACCAATTTGATCAATATTGGCTATTTTGGCGATTTTTTACCCCTGGAGGCCAAACCATTGACCTGAGGTCAAAGCTGATGCCTTAATTCAGATAGTGCTGTAAATGAGCTATCATTTTTTCCGCACCACTCCAGCTCTTCTGGTTCTAGAGTTAGAGTGCCTGAAGCTGAAAGTTACAAAATCTCACTTTGCTGACCTCTGGTGACTTTCAAAAAGTAAGACCAATCAAACATAGCACTGCACTTTTGGACTAAAACTGATTAAACAAAGGTACCTTATAGAGGTTGGTAGCAGAATTGTGGAGTTGCGGAGTTGTGAGCATAGGCGGTCCCAGGGGGGGGGGCCACGGGGGCCATGGCCCCCCCTTTGGTGCTGAAAGGTGGGGCCATACTATCTTTTGGCCCCACCTTTCAGATCGAACAAAAGTCCTAGAAAAGTTTTTTGCATGTTTCATTTTCTTTCTTGCGCCATCAAAGGACGTAAATTTCACTCATGAGTGGGCTCAGTTTCGCATTCTGTCAATTTGGCGGTCAGCGTCGCTGGCACCGGTTCACGAGTATGGCAGGATCTTATATGGAATTTCAGCGTGGGTTTGCTTGAGGCTCTCGTAGGCCCAGCAATGGCTGGCATGAGACCCTCTTCCCAGTGGCGGGTGGGCCCTGCCAAATGAGCGTGGCTCTACGACACTAAAGTAAGACCTCATGGGTTGGTGCTGTGCACCTCAGAAGCCCGGTGGTGATGCCGTATGCCGGCTTGGTTTCTTAAGGATTAGCGTGGGATCTCCGGGGCCTGCATAGAGTTTGCATAAGCTAGTATTTAATTTCAGAGGCCTGTATGTAATGTGTACACAGTGGCGGTCGCGGGGGGCATCAGGGCCATGCCCCCCCCCCCAAGGCACATAAAGGGGGCCATCATATCTAGTTCTTCTGAATGCTTGAGACGAGGTGTTAGTATCACTGATGTTAGTTGTCGGACTTTCGTCCCCGTCTTGAGTTGAGATGTTAGTTTCACAACGTTTCGGCCAGTTACTTCTCCGGCCGTCGTCAGGTGTTCTTTGGCCCTTAGAAGGACCTGGATGTTGGTGGCGTTGCGCCGTACGCGTCATACCGTTCGAAAGCTCCTGTAGTCAGCGGGAATCGAACTCGGGTTTCCCCGGTGATAGTCCACGGTTCTAACCACTCCACTATCGAGGCAGACATCGTTATGGAGCTGGAAACTTGGTGTCATTTATCCCCCAGATGTTTTTGTGATTTCCTTAGTAGTGGGAGCCATATTGGGCTGATGTCAACGCTTGGCTTGCTGATGGGGTTGCTAGCCAGCGCCATGTGTGCGGCTTCCTTGATTTTTCTGATTTTCCAGTGTGGCTCCTTGTCGATGATGGTGGTATCATCCCAAGCAGGTCTGTGATCTCCTTCAGACCATGCATGCTCCGCCACACCGGATTTCAGTGTTTCGCCTCGGATGGTGGCCTTCCTGTGTTCTTCGACCACTCCACTATCGCATGCATGCATTGGAAAGGGCCAAACCACCAAAGGCCAATACCACCAAAGAGGAACTGGCAGCAATCAACAACCTCAAACAAGACGGCAGCATCATCATACTTCCAGCAGACAAAGGAAACACCACCGTTGTCATGGACAAGAAGGAATACGACCACAAGATGAACAGCATTGTGACAGATGGATCGTACACCAAACTGAAGAAAGACCCAACCCCGGCCTGTGAACGCAAACTAACAAAGCGCCTTAAGAAGAACAAGGACAAGGAACAACTCACGGACGCCCAGTACAGAAAGCTGAGCCAACATCACAGCAAACTTCCACACATGTACGGGCTACCAAAGGTACACAAGACCAATGTACCGCTAAGACCAATAGTAAGCTGCCGTGGCTCAGCCTGCCATCCTCTGAGCCAGTTCCTCGTCAAGATCATCAACCCACTGAGTGGCAAAACACCTACATATGTCAAGAACTCAGCCCACTTCGTCTCACTGGTTCAGGCCATGCGACCTTCGCCGAACATGCAAATGGTAAGCTTCGATGTGGTGAGTCTGTTCACCAATGTGCCCACTACCGAAGCTCTGAGCATAGTGAGGACAAGACTGGAGAGCGACGATACACTGCCCGAAAGAACGACAATCCCGACTGATGACATCATGGAACTCCTGACATTCTGTGTCACCACCACCGCCTTCCAACTGGGCGATGACTACTACCAACAAACTGAAGGAATGGCCATGGGTTCACCCCTGTCACCGGTGATCGCCAACATCTACATGGAACACTTCGAGGAACTGGCCTTACAAACAGCACCACTGAAACCATCCCTGTGGCTGCGATATGTCGACGACACATTCGTCCTGTGGGACCATCGCGAGGACATAACACCGTTCCTAGACCACCTCAACAGCCTCCGACCCTCCATCCAATTCACAATGGAAACAGAAGTCGACAACAAACTACCATTCCTTGACGTCCAAGTGGAGAAATCTGAGGAAGCATTCAGAACATCGGTCTACCGCAAACCAACAGCGACCGACCGCTACCTCAACTTCAAGTCACACCACCCAGACACAGTCAAGAAAGGTATCGTAAGATGCCTGCAGACCCGAGCCACCAACATCTGTGGAGACGAAGCAGCCAGAAAGATGGAAATGTCACGCCTCACCAGCACCTTCAGGAGAAACGGATACCCAACGAGCTTCATGAAACACAAACCCAAGGAAGCATCCCAACAACAACCAAGGGATAAGCCCATCGCGACAGTATCCCTCCCATACAACAGAGGACTGTCAGAGAAGCTAAGGCGAATCTGCGGAGCATACAACATCAGGACGGTGTTCAGAAGTACCACCACCCTCCGCAGGTCACTCACAAAGGTCAGACCGCCAACCACCAAGGAGAAAACAAAGAACTGCATATACGACATCCCGTGCAGCTGCGGCAGGTCATACAAGGGCGAGACTGGCCGCCCACTGGCGGTCAGGCTCGAAGAACACAGGAAGGCCACCATCCGAGGCGAAACACTGAAATCCGGTGTGGCGGAGCATGCATGGTCTGAAGGAGATCACAGACCTGCTTGGGATGATACCACCATCATCGACAAGGAGCCACACTGGAAAATCAGAAAAATCAAGGAAGCCGCACACATGGCGCTGGCTAGCAACCCCATCAGCAAGCCAAGCGTTGACATCAGCCCAATATGGCTCCCACTACTAAGGAAATCACAAAAACATCTGGGGGATAAATGACACCAAGTTTCCAGCTCCATAACGATGTCTGCCTCGATAGTGGAGTGGTTAGAACCGTGGACTATCACCGGGGAAACCCGAGTTCGATTCCCGCTGACTACAGGAGCTTTCGAACGGTATGACGCGTACGGCGCAACGCCACCAACATCCAGGTCCTTCTAAGGGCCAAAGAACACCTGACGACGGCCGGAGAAGTAACTGGCCGAAACGTTGTGAAACTAACATCTCAACTCAAGACGGGGACGAAAGTCCGACAACTAACATCAGTGGGCCATCATATCATTTGCCCCCCCCCCCCCCCTCAAGCAACCGATGGGCCCCCATAGGTGTATGGGACCCTGGCCCTGATTCGATCGTCACGAGGCTAACAAAACACGCCCAGCTATTAACCCGCGCCCTGCTGGGGGGGGGGGTGTTTGAACACCCCCCCCCCCCTTGTGGTTTTTCGCGAATATCTCAAAAACGGCGGCGCGGAGCGCCGCCGTTTTTGGTACACCTTATCATACATCAATTCTACACATGTTGTGAAAATTTCAGACCAAGGTCATTCAAGGTCAGGTCACCAGGTCACTTGAAGTGACCTCACCTCATAAAAAGTTTCAATGTCTGTCATAGCTACACCGAGTGACCGATCGCTTTGAAACTTTCACCGATTGCTAAGAGCAATAGCATGTACAAAATGTATATCTCAGAATTTTGATATCGATGACCTAAGGTCAGGTCAATTTTGCGACCTCCCCATTATAAGTCAATGGGAGAAAATTGAAATGCTCCGCTTTTGGACGAAAGACATTATAAACACTCCCAAACACTATATTACAAGTGGTTTAGACACACTGAACATGAAAATGGTGTCCGTGACCCCTGCTTATGCCCTGAGGTCATCTTAGGTCACGAATGGTATCTAACAGTTTTTTCGCAAATAACTTTTGATACAGGCATGCTAGAGCGATGAAAACGCCTTAGATGTGTTCAGCTCGACGATACGGATCGACTGATATGCAACATGACCCTTTCCGGTCAGGTCATGACCTTGACCTGAGGTCAAATTTTCAAGTTGACCTTTCAAGGTCAACTTATAGTTCATTCGATGCGTCTTGACGAGAGGAACACGATGCCGGTAAAAGTAAGCTCGTACAAGGCTTGGGTCAAAAGTTATTGCAGAAAAACTGTCCGAAAAAATGGGCTATTTTTGCAGTTTTTGCCCCCTGCAGGCAAAACCGTTGACGTTAGGTCAAATCTGAGAGAATTACTCAGAAAGGGCGTTAATAGGGCTATCGAATGCGCTTTTCCGCGGCGCTGTAGCTCTATTGGTTCCCGAGTTATGCGTTGGCTTCTTGGAAATTGTCGACATTCGACCTGGAAATCGGCGAAATTTTGCCTTCAATGACCTCTGGTGACCTGACCTTTGACCTGACCAAAAAATTGACCGAAGTGATTTCCTCACTATTTTTGACGCTCTTTCGAACGCCGCCTTCCGCGTATCGCTACGTGGCCCAGGAGCCGAGTTAGAAGGGGGGGTGTTCAAACACCCCCCCCCCCCCCCCAGCAGGGCGTGGAAATCCAGGACCCCCAGCCGGGCGCGGGTTAATATAGCTCCCACACCGGTCTTTGAGCGTCCAACACTGACCTCTGAGGGAACTTCAGTGGCGGTCAAGCGCCCACGTTGACCGCTAAGAGCCCACATCGACCTCTGAGGCCCCACATCTGACCTATGAGGACCCCTAACCGGCCTCAGGGGCCCCAACCGGCGTCTGAGGGTCTCACACTGGTCTCTAGTGGCCTTATTGCTGTCTCTGGTGTCCCAAGACGAACATTTAGGTGCCAATGAGGGCCCCGCATTGGCTGCTGAAGACCCGATGCTGGCCTCTAAGGGTCTGCATTGGCCTCTGAGGAGGGCTCATCTTGGCCTTTGAGGGCCCTCTGCTGGCCTCTGGGTTCCAACGACGGCTCATTCCGATCTTTTAGGGCCCCACGCTGACCTCTGAGGGCCCCATGTTGGCCTGTAATGAGTAGGACCCACATAAGCCTCTGAGAGCCCAACTCGGTCTCTGATGGTCTCAACCTACTGGCCTTTACAGTTTGCAGGCCCTGTACTGGTCTCCGAGGGCCCTAAACTGGCCTCTAAGTGAAAACATACATGGGTGGGCTTCTGAAGATCACAGGGCTCACGCAGACTCCTGCACAGCCGTACGTTGGTCCTGATCGAGATTACTTTACGTCCTGATGGTCCCGCGCAGATTCCTTCATATTTCGACGTCGGGACCCCATGAGCCGGTGTGGGTCCTGGGGCTGGCAGAGACTGATGAAGTCCTTAGGGCTCAGGGCCAGTCTTTTTAGCAGTAGGACTATAAGGCAGATTGAGTGAGCCCCAATAGAGCCGTTGCGAGGCCCCGCACGAGTCGCGCGCGGCCCTCAGATGCCAATTTTGAAAACCAGGAACCTGTGGGGCCGGGGGTCTCCAGAGGTCGGTGTGCCTATTCTCTCCCACCGCCAAACAACTATATGGGTAATGGTAAATGTCATAGTCTGAAAATGCTCTCTGGGTTTCACATGCTTGTTCAAAGCAAGAGGTATCTGTACTTTTCCGAATTGTTTTATTGTGGTAAGGTCATGAATCCGCGTGCCCGACCTTCCAGTACATATGCTACACCGATCCGTCACCATGGTGCAGTGGCCCGACCGGTGGAAACACCGTGGGACGGGAAATGGAACTGGTGCTTTCGCCTTAAATTGAGCTTAATTTCACGCAAGAATGAGGTGGATGAAGCATAAGTAATGCCAACTGCGCGGCGCCTCGTGGACGTAAAAAATTAGCCCATCACCTCCCCCCCCTCCGGTGACTGACAAATGTTATGTCCCGCGAGTGTGACTTTGCCCCCCCCCCCTTTTGCTAGCGGCTGCGACCGCCAGTGGTTGTGAGTTGCAGATTTATGATCTAAATCTGCAAAATAGTTTCGTAGTTGCACTTGCGCTTTGGGTACATCATGTTGCAGAGTGTAGTGGTAGCAGTTTCCATAATAAGGTAACGATGCCCACCTCTGCGTAAAATACAAAGTATGAATGCATATTTGCAACTACAAGGAAAGGAATCATCGCTAGATCAATAGACCAAAGTTCAATAACGTCAGTTGCCTAAAAAATGTTTTTTTTTATAACAACACCCATAAGAAGTGTGATTTCTTCACTTAAAATTATCATAAGGCTTCTTCATTTTATCAAAACAAGTAAATATAAAAGCAAATTGACATAAGAGACAGTTTTGGCGCAGCTGAGCACAACAAAAGTAAAACAGCTTACCATGCTGTAGTCGCACCTTCAGAATTTCCGAGAAAATGACAAGGAATAAATATTTCTCCAAATGTCTTTCCAACTCTACCTTATGTTTCAGTAGGTAATCGCAGGTATATCTCAAACAACACAAACCGTCACCGTACCCTCCCACACTGCAATCCAACGAAAATAAACTGAAGCCAGAAACTACTATAGGGCTACCATATGCAGTAGGTTATTCTGTAGTGCAATTTTGTAGGGTATCTCTGGGGTATTTTTATCAAAAATGTTGGAAAGAAGATAAAGATTTATCTGGAACAGTAATACTCGAAGCCTAACTGATGTTTTTATTATACCAATTTAATCTGTGTTTATATTGCCGAGCCGCATACAGCTCGTAATTGTACACTACATACGTTGATCTGGTTGATCGACATCGAGAGCGACGCTGCGGCCGCCACACAAACACAGGCCTCGGGATCTTGGCGCTAGATGGCAGGAAGTGTAGCTCACCCCGGCGAATCAGCAATAAGGGCTGGTGACTGACAGATATAGCGAAACACCTTTGGTCCTTGGGGCGATAAACGAGTGTTCGTGCGAACGATCCCTTGACTCGCGCACGTATGTACAAACTGGCTGGGCTCAAATTAGCTTGTGCAGGACAATGGACAGTGCCCAGTGACACCCTACTAACCGGTCCCCTACAGTGTTGACTGTTGTAGTGATCGGGTAAAAACAGCTGATCGGGTAGAAAACGGGTGCCCGGGGTGGTATTGTCCATTGGACAGTTGATCGGGCAGAGACCGGGTGCCCGGGGTGGTATTGTCCATTGGACAGTTGATCGGGCTGAGACCGGGTGCCCGGGGTGGTATTGTCCATTGGACAGCTGATCGGGTAGAGAACGGGTGCCCTGGGTGGTATGTTCAGGGCCTCGGCTAACATGTTAACCCGCGCCCCGTAGGGCTACCGGCGGACCCTACCACCCGTAAGGGGGGGGCGTTTCGGCCCCCCCCCCCTAAGATCTCGGAAATTTACCGGCCGATTTTCAAAATTCAAACGGCGTTCGATAGCCCCACCCGGGAACTACCTTGTGACCAAATTTCATTGACCTAGGTCAAACCGATGACGTCACAGGTCAGGTCAAAGGTCAGATTTTCACCGTTCACAGGCAATTCAAGAAATGTGCTGTGAAAGCGAGTAAATTTGTAATTTATTGAAAACCATCGATGGTGCATTGTTCGTCAAACACATACTTTGCTATCTGAGGTCACTGATACCAGGTCAGGTCACAGCGAGGTCAGGTCACCGGGGGTCACAATATGAATGTGTCGTGTGATACATGTTTTATGGTCCATTTTACATGACAAATGCGATTATGTGGGTTAGGCAGCCTTTGGGGCCAGCCTAGGTCACGTTTTGGTGAAGGTCAGGTCAAGGTTAGGTCAAATTAGGTCAAATTTCAAAGTTGATATTTTTGCATAAAATGGGTATCGATTCGATGCAGCTCGTCACGGGGAGTTTAATGGTGGTCTTCGTTTTGCTCTACGAGTTCTAAAATTGCAAAAAAAATGAGTTTGAAAATTTGACGTCATCATTTTTGAACAGCTTTTTCGCTATAACTTGGCCAAAAAACGAGGTATCGATCTGAAATTTGGTATGTAGATAGAAGATGGTAGGCACTATCACATATATTCCGGTTTTTTTGAAACTCAAAAAACTTTTTGGATTATTTGGCGAATATATCAAAAAAATGCTTTTTTGATTTTTAGGGGTCAAAACTCAAAAATTTCAAAAATTCGAGATAGCAGTTTTGTAGCCCTGTCAATTCTACACCTTTTATGTCTTGATCATTTTTCTGTATCTTCAAAGCTGTAGTCCTGACAGGTCTTCTCGCGAAGGTCTTTTTTCGGTCGAAAATGACAGAACATGACGTCACTCTGACGTCATTTGTGGCCAACCTATCATAGCCTCTGAAAAAAAATTTTGGTCACAATGTGTAAAATTGATGCCCAGAGGAGTCCTGAAAGTTTGGTGGCGATATCTCCAGCCGTTTAGGAGATATCGACCGAAAAGGACAGGGGGGGCCGTTTCGGCCCCCCCCTACGGGGCGCGGGTTAACTGGTGGGCCAAATGGCCCACCAGTGACCCGAAATGGCCCACCAGCCTCAAAGATTTGGCCCACCAGTAATTTTCTGAAAAATCGAAGTTTTCACATTTTACATCACGACATAGGTAACATTGTGATACAGACAGAGACAGAGGCCCTACTACATTGTTGCATTTATTAAAAGTAAGAACTTGATCGTCGTTGCCCGCTTAAGATCCGCCTCGTTAGGAGCTTTCGATTGCCGTTTTCCCCGTCATTCTGTACGACCATCGATTCGGAAGTTAGGAGGGAGGGGGGCAGAATCTGCCCCCCCCCCCCCCCTCCAGTAGGGCGCATATGGCTGAATAGCCCAGCGGGTCGCGGGTTAATACCATCACCATTCCCGGTTTCTTGAGACAGCCGTATGGTTAAGCCCCGGTCACACTTCACCGGATTGGACCAAAGGACGAGAAACGGACGGCGTCCGTTGATGTCCGGGGGATGTCCGTTCGTTTCCGTTGGACGTCCGTTTCTCATTCGTTAATATCTGTTCCATGTCCGGTGGTGTCCGGTGTGCTCAACCGGACACCACCGGTGTCGTGTTCAAAACGTCTCGCTTGAAGATAAGACCCTTCTTCGGCACTTTGGACTCGCGTCTCTCGCTGCAAGGAGACTGCTGTACGACATCAGGCTCCTGAGAGACATTTATAACAACAAAATTGACTCCCCTCTCCTTTTGGCGTCATTCCCTCTGGCAGCTCCTCCCCGTGTACTCCGTAACAGGATGCTCTTTAACGTGCCACATGCAAGAGTGAACGCAGTGAAGAACGGTATTGTGAGAGCACCTCGTCACTGCAACGCGACGAGTTCCTTAACACCGCTCGGGCCGTAGATATCTGGCACACAGGGATGGGCGTTTTTAGGAAGCAGGTTGTCATGTACTCTATGACCGTGCTCTAGTGTTACATCCAGTGTCCACCCTCACATTATTTTATTATATTTTTATTCTTATCGTCATCATCAATCATCATTTTTTTGTAGGCGTATATGTGTTTTATATGTGTATTTTATGCGTCCTGTGTTTTATGCAACGTATGACTTCATCTATAATTGGGTTGCACCGACCCGTTGATGATTATGAAAATAAACTAAAGTAAACTAAACAAACGGACATCACCGGACGCTGACAGTTCTCGTCCGTTTTTCGTCCGTTGGTCCAATCCGTTTAAGTGTGACCGAGGCTTTAAATTTTATGCAATAATCGTGAAAGACGTTTGCCTCTGTCAATTACAGATAGTGTCGGCGGCTTCCAGCCGATCGAGGTCTGCGAGAGTTCTTGCAAGCTTTCCGATCGATCGAGTGGTTACAGTCACATAAGCATCTGCCGCAGACCAGTCGGTTACAAGAAAAACTACGAATAAAGAACAGACCAGATCAGACAGTCGGGGATAAGCCTGCGAGCGATCTCAGACGGCTCGCCGATAGACACGATATAAGCCAGAGTCAAACTAGAGGTAGTGTCGGCAACTTCCAGCCGATTGAAGTCTGCAAGCGATATTATGCGTCTTCACGAACGGTATGATGCTTGCAGTCGCACATCTGACCAGTTGGACGAATTTCGAACCGTTCACAGTCAGCGTTCCAAAAATTTCTCATTTGGGCTGAAGATGACACTCAAGAATAAGAATGGATAATTTTCCACTCTCACATTTTGGGTGGCTAGAATTTTCCACTCAGACACCCAAGAGAAATCTGAAGTTTGGGACACTGTTCACCAGAAGTGTACATAATTTTTTTAAGAAAATATTAGGGTTGCGCAGTGCGCTTGGGCTTTTGAGTGAATTCTTTTCCATGCGACACCAATAGGCTTAATGATCATTTTCAGAGATGTTGGGGTTGCTGCTACAACCCCCTTTTGGGGTTCCTGCTACAACCCCTTTTTGGGGTTCGTGCTACAACCCACTTTATATATAAAGTTGCACTCGTGCTGTTCACAATTCCTCCCGATCCACCCGACAACGCCCGATCCCGTCCGACCGCTTCCGAATCTCCGACTTGTCGGCGAGTGATCCATTCAAGGCTCGCTGATTTTTAACATCCAACCGGCCGTAAGTTATCGTCCAAAGTTTTATAATCTGCGTCTATATTTTGTGCATACTTGTGCGATTTTATGTGCACCGCCGGAGTATCACCACTGAGAGGGTTGTGGGTCCCTACTCTCTCTTCTCTCTCTCTGAAGAGTCGGGGGGGATCGAGCCCCGTTTTTTTATACATTTTTTAATGCCATCCTGACGTTTTTTGCAGAATAAAGTGGCCGAAATCTGGGGAGAAATCGAAAATGGGGGGGGGGGGCTATGGCTACGAAGGTCAGTCCATGTCGCTGCCCAAGTGGCCCACCAGTCAAAATTCCTTAGCCGAGGCCCTGGGTATGTTCCATTGGACAGTTGATCGAGACCGGGTGCCCGGGGTGGTATTGTCCATTGGACAGTTGATCGGGCAGAGACCGGGTGCCCGGGGTGGTATTGTCCATTGGACAGTTGATCGAGCAGAGACAGGGTGCCCGGGGTGGTATTGTCCATTGGACAGTTGATCGGGCAGAGACCGGGTGCCCGGGGTGGTATTGTCCATTGGACAGTTAATCGGGCAGAGACCGGGTGCCCGGGGTGGTATTGTCCATTGGACAGTTGACCGGGCAGAGACCGGGTGCCCGGGGTGGTATTGTCCGTTGGACAGTTGATCGGGCATAGACCGGGTGCCCGGGGTGACCGGTGGCGATGTCCATTGAATAGCTGATCGGGCAGAGGCTGTGCGCCCGTGGCAAGTGGCAACGTCCATTGGACAGCTGATCGGGCAGAGGCGCCGATCAGCTGTCCAATGTCCTCTCCCGCGTCGCACGGCGGGAGAGGCGCCGTGCGACGCACGGTGAGCGCAGTCGGGCCCGCAGGCCAGGACCGCCGGTATTTAACCCTCGCTCCGCCTACGAGAGGGTTCAGTGCCCGGCCGAGTTACCGCAGGATACGTCGGATCATCCCTGCTCACAAAGGTGGGTCAACTTAACTGCGCCATCTGATGCATAGGATTTTCACGCGGATGCTGCTTGAAGCCAGTCGTTCCGATACAAAGTGCAATAATGACAGTGGTTTTGTTGAGAGGTATGAACATCAAATCTGGATGCGATCGCTACCTACTTACGGAGTCCAAAAGGTACGTCATTCAAACATCCAGTCATTAAGTCATGCGAGTGATTGTGACCTCCGATTTTCGATCTTCAAAATCCGAATCGAAATTCTGAAATCCGAATCGGAATTCCGAATTCCGACTCGGAATCCCGAAATCCGAATCGGAATTCCAAATTCTGATTGCAAAAAGGCGGCGCTTTTGCGATTTTTTATCCAGTCCCTTGCGATTTGTCGCGAATCTCTATAAAAAAACGGCAGCACCTAACCATATAAAAACATGCTGTGAATCTTTCAGGTCCCGCTCTTTCAAAGTCGGGTCAACAGGTCACGTCAGTTGACATGACCTCTTCTAAGGTCACTTAAGGTCGCCCTTGCCTCAGAAAAAGTTCTAATGCTCGTCAAAGACACACCGACTGACCGATCACTTTGAAACTTTCAGCGATTGCTACGGAAATAACATGAATTAAACGATGCCTCATAATTCTGATATTGGTAACCTAGGATCAGGATAATTCTACCACCTCTCCATTTCAAATGAATCGGAGGATATTGTGAAAACTTTCTTCTTTTGAACGAATGCTGTGCCAAACCTTCTAAAACCTCTCAAACGCTTGGTTACAAATAAACATGAAAGTATTAAAACCGAAAACTGCACCCGTTCCCTTCTTTTTACCCATGAGGTCATTGTGGGTAACGAAAGCCTCAAACATGACGACGTAATGACCTCTAACTGACCTCAGGTCAATGACATCAAAAAACCCGAACTATTTGTTATACAACTCGGTGAACGTAGCACATCCTGAAAGTTTGAAGGAAATCAGTCCAAAACTGTGAGCTGGACACGTGCAAAAAGAAAATTGAAATTTGACCATTGACCTTGTAGTTTGTACTGGTTTTTCTGACCTGGTGACCTGACCCAAGGACACCCGGACCTGAAATTTCAGGTCATATGTAAAAAAGATGCCTCATAGGCTGTGCCAAATTTGGCGGCGCTGCGCGCCGCTGTTTTTACGTTATCTTCGAAAAACCTTAGGGGGGTCGCATCGACCCCCCCCCCCAAAGCAGTGGTAGTAGGTATATGCTATTTGCGCGCAACATCTGCCGCAAGTGCCGCACTTTTAAGATATAAAATTATTGCTTCCAAATGACGTCACAGGAACAGCGAAGGTCCCAGAAGGTAAACAAAAGTAAAGTGTGATATCTTGAAAATCGGTGAATATTTTTCGGTTAAATTTGGTAGAAGCGCGTTTCAATATTTTCCTTTGACTCACGAGTACGTACCTATTAACCCTATTCCTGGCGGGCTCCGCCGGGACAAGAAACTGGCGGGGGGGGGCCGATTCGGCCCCCCCCTTCAGATCTCAAAAACTACACATCGCAGCGACAAACGGTAAACGGCATCGGATACGCACGGTCAAGATCTACAATTTTTACTAAGGTCATTTTCAGGTCAGGTCAAAGATGACGTCACAGGGGTCGAAAAAGTCCAAATGGCGGCGCTAGATATGGAGAGTTTTTCTCGAATAACTTTCGAATTAGTCAAGATAGGAACAAACTAAGGGCATCATCGTGATCCTCTCGTCAATTCGCATCGAATGATATTATATGTTGAACTCGAAAGGTCAAGGTCAAAGGTTGACCTCAGGTCACGTGACCTCGAGGTCATCATGTATATCATTCGATGCGTCTTGACGAGCTGAACACAATGAGACCATCCACGCGTCTGTATCTTGTTCCTGTACGGAGTTATTGGCCAAAAACCTTTGGTGACCTTTGATGACGTCACATGACCTCACAGCTGCCCAACAGCAAAACAGACCTCAAGGTAGTGAAGGTTGATCGTATATGAAGTCATGTATGGTATATGGGGCCATTCCGACCCGTTTTAGTGGTAAAAACAGGGAGTTGATTTTTCCCCCATTGACTTATAATGGTGAGGTCGCGAAACTGACCTGACCTTAGGTCACCGATATCAAAATTCCGAGATATACAAATTGCACATACTGGTACCCTAACTAAAGCCTGAAGAGAAGAAATTGATCGGTCAAAAACTCTAGCTCTGGCGTGATTGCAAACTTTTCTGAGGTAGGGTCACCAAACCGCCTCTGGTGACCTGACCTGAGGTCAGATCAACTCAAAATTTTCAGACATGTTGCGTAGAAGCCTTTTAGGAAAAGTCAGAAAATTTGAGCTTCCTAGCTCAACGCGTTTGGGAGAAATAACCAAAAAACCTCAGGGGGGGGGGGGCTCCTGAGGCCCCCCCCCCCGCCAGGAATAGGGTTAAAAAGACGTCGTAAAATTAAGCTGACCATTGCACAATGGGACCAGAGCGAAAATTAGCGCGACATCGGTACTTTTTCGTGTTTCGTGCTCGCTTTTCACGTGAAAGGGATGATAGAATCATACAAATGGTAGTCGGTGTACTTCCTAAGCAATTTCTGATTAATTTGATTAATCAATAATTAGTAATTTAATTAATTAATTAATTAGTTAATTAATAAGTTGACCTGCGCTGACCTCGACTTGGTTCGGTCACGTGATAAGATGGCAACACCTGTCAGGTCAGGTCAGGTCATGACGACACCGGAAATTCCGATAAGCAAATAATGTAGCCACCAAGCAAGACCATGATGGGAATCTGATGGCCTACTACATGACTATATAACAAATTAAGTACGGGTCAGGAAAGTGTATCAGACACTCGGAAAGCAGGTACGGATATGTCCGGACAAAACTTAAATTTAGTTGGCACTTGGCAAGCTTGTACAACCCCTGAGGTTCTGTTGCTCACAGCTTCCGGCCGGCTCGCGGTAACCGCGCACGGCCAGCGCCGGCGACCTGAAGTAAAAAAATGCCCCTCATTTTCGCTGTGGCAGGCTGAGGCAGCTGAACTATACATTTTCAGAAAGGCAATTGATTGGTTAACACCATAAAGATAAAAGAAGAGCGGGACCTAGCGGGATTTTTTATATCGGCATTCCATAATATTTATAACAGCAAAATTAACTCGAAAAGCATTTAAGAAAACTTAGCACTTGAAGCGTATTTATATATTCCGCTAAAAGTTTTTCTTTCCATCGTAAAGCCCATGGTCTAAACTATCAGGCTAGACCCCGAAAGTATTGATAAAGCCGTCTAATATATATTGTTCTTGCCTACATTAGCTGCTACTTTTCTCCGTACGAAAACGGGTCTACGATGCTTGTCACGGAACTTTGTGTTTGGGCTGATGTGGCGTGGACGCTGTACACCATGGACGAAAAATATTTGCAGATTCGTGGTCCATGGACATTTCTGAACTATGTGACACAGTTTAAATAAATTTGTGAAAGGTCGGCAAATCCACCAATGTCGCGCTAATTCCGGTCGCGGTCCCATCGTCCATTGGTTGAATTCTCTATAGACTCCATAATTTTTCTAAAAATGTCGATAAGTTGTGAAATAGGCGAGATGACGGTGAACGAATTCTATAAATCATGCAAAAAAAAAAACATGTGGAAAACGAGGTGGGCGTAATACGCCTAACTACCGCAAAATTAATTTTTCTGATCACCTGTTCCGGGTGATCATTTTTGAATGATACAAAAAGAAAGTCGCCACGTGCAAAGATTGGACAAGATATTTTGATTTCACGTGCTGGTTTACATGAGGGATATTTGGACATTTTGTTTTTTATCAACATTGTTCAAGTCTGTCCTTAGGTACGGTAAATATCATCCGTTTTATAGCATACACTTTTTGGACATCTTAGTGTAACGATGCAATATCTCAGCTGGATGGCTTTGCAACACAACAAATTTCAGTTCATGGCGCATGTGCAAAGGCAATAGCACGGTTATACGGGCTTCCTGGAGCCTGCAAAGGATCGATCTTGGAGTGCACGGAGACACTAAGAATAACAAAAAAATCTGAAAAGGACATTGTTGATGGAAGTGCCTTCGAGTGCACTGGTTTCGCGGACCCGGAGACAGTACCGCCTTCTAGAGGATGCTGTCAGCTGTCGTTTGGCCGGCTTTGTACCACCAATTCACGCATCTCCAACACTTTTCAACAAGAGAATGCTTCTCCACACACATCCGCGCCTGTCATTGAGTTCCCGTGCCCCAAAGCTGGTAAACCTGCAGTTTTGCGAATAAGCGAGCACGACCGCCCGTCGTACAGCCCGGACTTCTCGTGACTGTACTTGAGTGTCTGGCCTCACAAAATGACAGGTGTGTTCAGATGTGAGCTGAAGACAATTGTACATTTAATAGTGGTAGAAGGATACTTTACCCGGAGCATGGGACGGCGATAATCAGCAGAAAATGGTCAGACAAACCCGGCATCGAGCGGAGCTCAGCTGGTCGGCGGTCCGCGAGGGGTGCATACTTTGGGCACCTCCTCTAAGCTGGCTATTGACATTAATGACTGACTGTGTGTTCCAGATAAAATGTCCCACCGTGCAAGCTCTATGGGTGCATTGTAAAACCCGATTTATTGTATCATTTTGTTGCGATAAACCGGAATTTCAAAACATTTCAGGTTATTACATCATCTTATGATGCAATAAATTGAAATGTCAGGATTTAACGTGAAAGGTCGGGAAAAAAATTTACAGCGACATCTGAGAACGTTGTAATAAATCGGGTTTATTACCTCACGCGACTTGCACAGATTTTGAACAAAGTGGAAAGACGTCGCTGTTCTGATATGAAGAGCTACCATATTTGAAAATCACGATTTGAATATCCTGTTTATTTGAACATTTGCGCAGGGCATTTCCCTATATGGCCTCTTTCAGCTTAGGCCAAAGTGGCGCACAACCTGTTATGCAATGCAGCATGCATCTGCCATTTTGTATTTATATACACTGTGCCATTTTGCACCCATTTTGAAGTGAAGTTACTTCGATTACTTCGGAGGGTGTGGACGTGGAGTTGGTGTCAGTGTGGAGGTTATGTTGATGTTGCAGGTAAGTTTTAGGGTTTTCATTGTTGAATGTTGATTCAATCGCAATTCAACTTCGGAAAATATTAATAAATTTATGCAATATCCCCATGCAGACAGCCATCCTTTGCAAATTTACCCACCAAACTAAGCAACCAGATGCAATCAAATACCTACTGATTAAATGCTCCATAGAAACCAACTGAATTTAATATTTTAATTCAATCTAAGTAGGTATGCTAGTTAACAATTGAATGACTTTACCTTTGATGGTATTGGGCTGGGTCCAATGTTTTACATGATAATAATATCTGCATGATATGGGTACCTATTGGGTATTGATGTTTCGGGGCTTCGTAGGGGTAGTAGTAGAGCAGGCGTCACACTTCTTTTCGCAACCAAGGAGAGGCGCTGTAGGTACTAGGTTAGGTTGTAGATTTTAGGTGGTTTAGGTGGTAGATTCTAGGTTGTAGGTTGTAGGTAAGGTTAGGTTCAGTTTGGTTTGGTTTGGTTCGATAAGAAAGCAACTTTGGGTAGAGCGCCTTTCCTTGGTTGCAAAAAGAAGTGTGACGCCTGCTTTACGACTACCTTCGTAGATAACCTGCATGGTTAAAAAACTTAAACAATTTTGTTTTTACTGCCTGTAATCATTTTATTATTTACATTAAGTTGTATGGATAGGTTCTGAAATCATGCTTACAAAATGTCATTTGTATTTTCTTACCCCATCAAAGAAGATAAATGAAAATCTAGCAATGGCTCGGAATGCTCGGAATTGCCTTTAAGAAATCCACTTAGCTCTTGGACACTGCTGTTATTGCTATTTTGACATGTTTGGCCAATTTCTTAGTTGTGACTTATGCTACTGCACAAATTAATTGCTTACATTTTCTCCTTTACTAAATTAGCACATGGTCACTCCCTATATGCTTATAAATTTGGCATTGGTAGGGCAGACATAGCACGAGCTACCATATGTGATGCTGTAGATTGTAGGTTTTAGGTTGTAGGTTGTGGTTGTAGATTGGGTAATTTCTTCCAGTGATTGAAAGACTTTACTTTCGGCGAATTAAACTTTGTGATTGTTGTGGGCTGTGGCTGGGTAATGCTTGTTTTTGTTACATTACATTTATTTCTAACTCAGTGGACACTTAACTTTTGACTGGCATGCTATCGTTATGGGGTTTACCCATTGATTTCAGTTTCCCTGAAAAGTGAGTACAAAATTATATTTTTTTCTATGATGAGTACTGAGTACAAAAATCTTTGGTGTCTGGAGACACCAATCAGCGGCAACTTTTGCAACACTGGAACATAGGGTACACCAATGGTGGGCAGGTGGGTAAGTGCCCACCCACTTTTCGAGTGGGGGCCAACCATGTGTTTTGGCCCACCCACTTTTTACTCTAGGCCCTCGTCTCGATTTGAGAGGACGTCGTCACCTCCCATAATAAACAAACTTGGTAAAAATAAGTTCCACGAATCCCCACGCACGGACTCCAAGGGGCCGTGATGGATCCAAGGAGGCCCTCTATTCATACTTGACAGTCGAAGCGCCTGAGACTGATGGCCTGAGAGGCCCTAGTGGATCTGAGGAGGCCCCAATATCCACACTGGTCTGGGGAGGCCACTGACACCGGCGGTCTGGGAGGCCCCTTTATCCACACTAGTCGGAGGTCTGAGACTGGTGGTCTGGGAGGCCCCTCCCCTCCATCCACACTAGTCAGAATAGGCCCCTGACACTGGCGGTCTAGCCGAGGCCCCCTACCCTCACTAGTCAGAGGAGGCCCCTCTATCCTCAATAGTCAGAAGAGGCCCCTGAGACTGATGGTCTGGGAGGCCTATCCATCTACACTGTAGTCAGAGGAGGCCTCTGAGACTGATGACCTGAGAGGCCCTTATAATCACACCAGGCAGAAGAGGCCCATGAGACTGATGGACTGAGAGGCCCTTCTATTCATACTGGCCACAGGAGACCCCCCAAAACTTTCTGTCTGGGACTGGGAGGTCCCTCAATCCGGCACCAGTCTGAAGAGTCCCCTGAGACTGATGGCCTGGGAAGCCCTTATATTCACACTAGGCAGAGGAGGCCCCTGAGACTGATGGTATGAGAGGCCCTCATATCCACACCAGTCAGAAGAGGCCCCCGAGGCTGATGGCTGTGAGGCCCTTCTGTTCATATAACTGGCCACTGGAGGCCCCTGAAACCGGTGGTCTGGGAGGGCCCTCTATCCAAACTAGTCAGAAGAGGCCCCTGGGACCGATGGTCTGAGAGGCTCTTATATTCATACTGGCCACAAGAGGCCCCTAAGACTGATAGTCAGAGAGGTTCACTCCTAATGAATCTGAGGGGGCCTTCTATCCACATTTACACTTTTCTAGGGAGGCCCCCGAGACTGATGGTCTGAGAGGCCCTTTTATTTATACTGTCCACAGGAGCCCCCTGAGATTAATGGTCTGAGAGGCTCTTCTATTTATACTAACCAGAAGAGGCCCTAGGATTGATGGTCTAACAGGCCCTTCTATTTATACTAGCCAGAGGAGGCCCATGAGACTGATTTTCTGAGAGGCCCTTCTATTCAAACTAGGCAGATGAGGCCCCTGAGAATGATAGTCCGAAGAGCCAGGTGGCGGCAACTTGCCGTGGCCATATTTCGGCTCGGTAGAGCCCCACAGAGCACATGAGAGCACCTCAAGGGGTCCTAAGTAGACACGCTTATTCCCATAAGGGTGCCACGCCGGCTTCTGAAGGCTCCTTGTAGGCATCTAAGGGCCCTTTCCGGCCTCTAACGGCTCCACCCGCCTGTGATGGCTCCACACCAGTGTTTATGAGCGCCACACAGCGGCGCCTTTGAGGGTCATACTAGTGTCTCTTAGGGCCCTATATCGGTGGCTCTGGGGGCCCCACACCGGCGCCTCTGTGGGCCACCACACCTGTGCATCTCAAGGCTCTATAAGTACATATGAAGGACCCACACCGACACCTCTGAGGGCCCCACACCAGTATCTCGGAGCTCTGAAGGCCCTACACCGGTGACTCTGAGGACTCACCGGCTCCTGAGAGCACCATGTTGAATGTTGATGTCTAACGGCTCCACAAGGCCACTGAAGGCACCACACAAGCCAAGCTCTCACTGAGCTCTAATGTCCATGTACCGGCCTCTGAGGGATTTAAGCCAGCGCATTCATAGCTCCACACCAGCAATTGTAAGGGCTTCACACTGAAGTATCTGAGGGTTCCACACCGGTGTCTCTAAGGGCCACATACCGGCATCTCAGAGGGCCCCATACCGGCGTCTCCGAGGGTCCACATCTGGCGGGCACCCATCATCGACTGAAGGTCCCGACTCCGAGAGCCCCATCTGCGTCTGGGAGTAACATGCCGTCTTAAGAACCACAGCGGCTCCTCTGTCGAAAGATGGGCGTCTGCATGCCAAAGGGGAGCGGTTCTGAGACAGTAGGGCACCTACGTGCAATAGAAGGGCGCCTATGAAGCCCTTAGGTGTGCCTTAATGCGAAAGAGGGGTGCCTCTGAGGCCTACATATATGGGCGTCCACATGCAATAGAGGTCTGCACTGCAATGGATCGATGCCATGAGGGTGCATTCATAAGAAACAGGGGCGCCGGCATGGCAAAGAGAGGCGCCTTCAAGTGTCCATAAAAGAGAGACGCCTATGATAAGCGCACATTGTATGCGACAACGGGGCGACTGTGGGACATATAGGGATGTCTCTGATGACTATACATAGGGCGCTTATATGCCAAAGAGGGCGCCTATAAAGCTAATGGGGGCACCTGGGAAACGAGGAAGACATTTGTGTAAGGGTTTTCAGGGGTCATGCACCGTTTGCGGCATATAGATTCTAAAAAAAAATCGGAGGGAGAATAAGTTTTAAAAATGGTGCGGACTTCCCGCACTGTTCGCTGAAGCGGTTACGCCCCTGGGTACATCTGCTCGATCTCAGAAGCTAGATTTGGAGGTCATACTTGAAAGCAGCCGGCAGGACGAGGCAAAAGTTGGAGGCCCCTGAAAATAGGAGGCCCCCTGGAAAAGGAGGCCCCTTGACAGGGTGGCCCACCCACTTTTCATGACGTTCCTACGCCCGTGTTCCCATCAAAAGGTTCGGACTAAATTTATTTTTAAAAAATCAAATCAACATGACAAATAGTTGTTGGATTAACTATGCACGATGTACGTCAGACACGTACCCAGGATTTCGCCCACGAGGGGATCACCTGCTCTTGAAGGGGCCCGCGAGTCACCCGGGGGCCCGGGGTCAGCCCAGGCAGGGACGTATCCAGGACCTTTCGATGGGAGGGGGGCACGGTGGGTCCGGTCCCACTGGCAGACAGGCCTCTTTAAAACGGTCTGCCCTGAGAAAATGTTAAAAATTGGCACGTAAAAATACCATTTATGCCCAAGGAGTGTGCCTAATGTGCATGGTATTTTACGAGCAAACGAAGCAAGCGAGCTCCTCAGTCACCGGTGTGAAAGGCCGTCAGATGCGCTGGTGTTGAGTCCTCACAGCCGCCGTTGCGGGCCGCGGGGCCTTAGGGCTTAGAGACACTGGTGGGGCCATCATTGGCATGTGCGTGGCCCTGCACAGTGGCCTGAAAGTGGAAAGTGGCCTTTCATAGTTCATAGACTAAGACTGGCAAGGACACTCAGAGGCTGGTAAGAGGCCATCACTGGTACTGGCCCAGTCACTGGTACGTGGCCCTCAGAGACGCTGGTTTGGGGACTCTCAGAGCCGCCGATGTAGGCCCTTAACCCACGTTCGTGTAGGGGAGGGGTCGAACGGCCCCCTCGGTTTTTCGCGAATAACTCGCGTAAAAAGCGGCCGATCGCGACGAAACTTTCAGTACCCTCGGGTTATTCAATTTTACACCTACCCTAAAAATTTCATGACCCTGACCTAAATGACCTTTGACCTGTGACCTACTTTTCGAGCCCATGTTTGGCCGGAATCGCGGTTCGGCGTATGTCGGCTCGCATTAGCCGCGCGTTTCCAGTCTTTTCGTGGTTTCAGGCGTTCAAACATGTGATATGATGTTGCCCCCATGCATTAGGGTGGGTGTCAAGGTCACCTGAAGGTCTGGTCAGGTCATTGACCTTTGATGACCTCGGTTCACTTTTTCGAGTTTTACATGTTTCTAGGCTAGTTTTTGGAGCTGAATTCGAATTTAGCAACCATATGAACATTAACGAAGTAGTTTTGGTGCCTTCGTAACATGTTACGAAGCTGTCAGAGGCGGTTGACACCTACTGCGAAGACCCGGCAGGACCCCTACTGGTTGACCTGACCTGACCTGACCCGGCCCAGTTAAAATGCATGAGGACATCATCTGTGATCAAAATTAACATGATATTCGTGATCAACACCCCGAAAGCCCCCATATCAGCCACACTGCCACACTACGACGTTCTAACAGGTCCCGATTTTCCCGACTTCTGGGTCTTTGACCTGACCTGGAAGGTCAACCAATGAACTAGGACCTTAATATTGGGTGTCATCGGTTTCCTCTCGTCACGGGCAACACGCTCGTTTTTTTTTCTGCGAAACTCTAGCTCAATCATAGGCGAAACGGCAAGGGGGGGGCAACGGGCCCCCGCCCCCTTACCTATACGTTCGCGGCTGGAAAAACACCAATACGGGCGAGGGTTAATGTTACTACAATACGGCGAGGGTTACGGGCGATGCGCTGATGTGGGTCCCTTGGAGATGGCGTGAGGGGCCTCGCAGGTGCCGATGTGGTGGCTTTTAGAAACACTGGTGTGGGCCGTGGGGCTATCACAGACGGGTGTGGAGCCATTGCAGCTGATCCCTCATTGGCCGTTACTAGGGCCCTCAGAAGCCGGCAAGGTCTCTCAGAAACCGGCGCATTGGTCCTTTATGGAGATAAGTGTGGCTACATAGGAGCCCATCTGACTCATTGAGTGGTCTCCAGGCCTTGACACAATTCTATTCGACCGACCTCCTCGTACAGGAGATTCTTCTCCGTCTGACAGCCCTCGACCGAGAGGGAACATCAATCACTTTTTGCTGGATCCCTAGTCATGTTGGTGTTGCTGGCAATGAGCGGGCGGACGGATGTAAAGTTTCAATGATACAAGCGGCAATATTTAGTGATGCACCTCTCACACCTTGACTGCCAATAACCTTGTTTTCCAGGTTGGCGTCAGTCCCACTATCCAATCACAGATGGATACCAAACGAGGTGAGTTACAGTCACTGTCGAAGTATTCCTTGGTTTGCAGAATTTGGAATCCATAATCTAGGGGAAAGTGGTAGAATCTTTGGATGAAAAGTGTGATAGGCAATATCCAGCATGAGTTAAATAAAGGCTGTTTAGTTTACCTAGACTTTTTTGAAGCTGCGACAGATCCTAAACACTTTTGGCAAAGAAAGCAGTTTGATGTAGGTAGCATACCTTGACCTCAATAATGCGTTTGATAAAGTACCACACATAAGGATAGTATTGCAATTGAAGCTGCAAGGCATGAAGGGGAATATACTAGACCCGGTTGACAGGACGCCAGCAGCGTATAGTGCTAAATGGGTGAAGGGCAAGGTGGGAAAAATGTTCTGATTGGGGTTCCTCAGAGCTGTATTAGGTCTCATGTTCAAAATTTATGTAAATACAATCGACGAAGGCATAGCTTAGTAGAGTGCTCAAATTTGCAGATGCTATTAACCTGCGCCGTGCTGGTGGTCTGAGTTTTTAATGTCATGCTGGGGGCTCAGCGGTCAAGGTGGGCGCATGACCGCCACTGAGGGACCCTCAGAGGTCATTGTAGGACCCTCAAAGACCGGTATGGGAGCTGTGCGAATAGCTGGCGTGTGTTTCTTGAGCCTCGTGATAATCGAATAAGGGCCAGGGCCCCATACCCCCATGGGGGCTCATCGGTTAGTTTGGGGGGGGGCAATAAATGCTATGATGCCCATGATTTGCCTTGGGGGGGGGGGCAGTGGCGCGGGAGCCGGGGGGGGGCTAGGGGGTGCTGAGCCCCTCCAACTTTTCGGCTGGGAAGGGGGCTCGTAAGGTATTTGAGCCCCTCCAACTGGAGGGATCGAAATCGGAAATATACCAACATAATTTCATAGATTCATACATAGGCGCGGGAACCGGGGGCAGTGGGGCAGCTAGCCCCCACAACTCTGGGGCCGTGGGGGCGGTGCCCCACAACTTTTCATAAGGTCAGGAACCGTTGGGGCAGCTTGTCCTCCCCAAATTAGGGGTTGTGGGTCACAAAGGAAGAAAGCATTTAAGTGAAAAATCCAATCACATTAAACGCATGACATTATCTTATAGTTAACTCCGTAACGTTGTCAGCATCGTGTGCTTCATTCAACTCAGTGTTGGCTGCCTAATTATTGGCCGGCCGCCTCTCTCTCCTCTCTCTCTCTCTCTCTCTCTCTCTCTCTCTCTCTCTCTCTCTCTCTCTCTCTCTCTCTCTCCTCTCTCTCCCCCCCTCCCCTCCCCTCCCCTCCCTCCCCTATGTCCTATTCACCGATCCTCACTGCTCGCTCGGGCCGCGTAGAGTGAGGCTCTGCCGACTCGCTCTGACCGCCCGCCGGTGACGTCACGGCCCCTCCGGCAAGGTCAGGTCAGGCCACCGCTCGCTAGTGCCGGCCGGACTTGTCGGTCCGAAGCCATACTAGCTCCGGAACGCTACGGCAAAGACTGGTTAACCGGAATAGAGCCATATCGACCCAAACTCTTATTCCGACGGCGTTCCGTTTACACCGGCCCAAATCTGGCGTGCCGGAGTCGCTAGGGCAAAACGGACTTGAGCCAAACCAATTGCTGGCTGGGAAACTTCCTTTAGTATTTTATGTTAGCTAATAGCTATCAATATTTGACAGGGCGCATAGCTGGATCATATGGGAAGAGGATGCTGCTTGCTGCTCTCCACTCCCGTGGCAGACATAAAGGCGCGCAGCGTCACTCACGTAAAAATGGACGAGGTAAGACGTGACTATGGTGCCTACATTTGTGTTGTTACCAGTTACTCAGTCCACCCAAATCTACTTGTATCTATGCTAATCAACACATCATAATTCAATCGTTTTTCTGGTTTTTCTTTAGACATTGTTCTTTTTTTGGCTCACTACCTGATCCTACATTTTAAAATCACTCGCCGAATCACTGGTGATGGTTAAAAAATCAAGACAGCATTCATCCTCCTACCGCCATGCTTCCTTATGCGTTGCCATATCTTTTCTTTCCAGAAGTCCTCCCTTCATCTCCTGGGTCAGCCGGCCGCGTGGATGAAACCCCTCCTCACACCACTGAGTATCATGTATACCACAAATATCCTGGACTTGACTTGACTATGACTCATGAGCTGCGACCGGCTACCCATGCGATGGACGGAGCTCCGCCGCCCGTCCTGACCCCGGACGCTAGAAGGTGGGATGCTCATCATCTGCGTGAGACTTCTGAGACTGCGACCGGAGCCCCGGCCCGTCCCGACCTCTGACGCTGGAAGGTGGGATGCTCTTCATCTGCGTGAGACTTCTGAGACTGCGACCGGAGCCCGCCGCCCGTCCCGACCCCGACGCTAGAAGGTGGATGCTCATCATCTGCGTGAGACTTCTGAGACTGCGGCCAGCCCCGCCGCCCGTCCCGACCCTGACGCTAGAAGTGGGATGCTCTCATCTGCGTGAGACTTCTGAGACTGCCAGAGCCCCACCGCCCGTCCCGACCTCTGACGCTGGAAGGTGGGATGCTCTTCATCTGCGTGAGACTTCTGAGACTGCGACCGGAGCCCCCCGCCCGTCCCGACCCCGGACGCTAAAGGTGGGATGCTCTTCATCTGCGTGAGACTTCTGAGACTGCGACCGGAGCCCCGCCGCCCGTCCCGACCGGACGCTAGAAGATGGGATGCTCTTCATCTGCGTGAGACTTCTGAGACTGCGACCGGAGCCCCGCCGCCCGTCCCGACCCCGGACGCTGGAAGGTGGGATGCTCTTCATCTGCGTGAGACTTCTGAGACTGCGACCGGAGCCCCCGCCCGTCCCGACCCCGGACGCTGGAAGGTGGGATGCTCTTCATCTGCGTGAGACTTCTGAGACTGCGACCGGAGGCCCGCCGCCCGTCCCGACCCCGGACGCTAGAATGGGATGCTCATCATCTGCGTGAGACTTCTGAGACTGCGACCGGAGGCCCGCCGCCCGTCCCGACCCCGGACGCTGGAAGGTGGGATGCTCTTCATCTGCGTGAGACTTCTGAGACTGCGACCGGAGCCCCGCCGCCCGTCCCGACCCCGGACGCTGGAAGGTGGGATGCTCTTCATCTGCGTGAGACTTCTGAGACTGCGACCGGAGGCCCGCCCCCGTCCCGACCCCGGACGCTGGAAGGTGGATGCTCATCATCTGCGTGAGACTTCTGAGACTGCGGCCAGAGCCCCGCCGCCCGTCCCGACCTGACGCTAGAAGTGGGATGCTCATCTGCGTGAGACTTCTGAGACTGCGACCGGAGCCCCGCCGCCCGTCCCGACCCCGGACGCTGGAAGGTGGGATGCTCTTCATCTGCGTGAGACTTCTGAGACTGCGACCGGAGGCCCGCCGCCCGTCCCGACCCCGGACGCTAGAAGGTGGGATGCTCTTCATCTGCGTGAGACTTCTGAGACTGCGACCGGAGCCCCGCCGCCCGTCCCGACCTCTGACGCTGGAAGGTGGGATGCTCTTCATCTGCGTGAGACTTCTGAGACTGCGACCGGAGCCCCGCCGCCCGTCCCGACCCCGGACGCTGGAAGGTGGGATGCTCTTCATCTGCGTGAGACTTCTGAGACTGCGACCGGAGCCCGCCGCCCGTCCCGACCCCGGACGCTAGAAGGTGGGATGCTCTTCATCTGCGTGAGACTTCTGAGACTGCGACCGGAGCCCCGCCGCCCGTCCCGACCCCGGACGCTGGAAGGTGGGATGCTCTTCATCTGCGTGAGACTTCTGAGACTGCGACCGAGCCCCGCCGCCCGTCCCGACCCCGGACGCTAGAAGGTGGGATGCTCTTCATCTGCGTGAGACTTCTGAGACTGCGACCGGAGCCCCGCCGCCCGTCCCGACCCCGGACGCTAGAAGGGGGATGCTCTTCATCTGCGTGAGACTTCTGAGACTGCGACCGGAGCCCCCGCCCGTCCCGACCCCGGACGCTAGAGGTGGGATGCTCTCATCTGCGTGAGACTTCTGAGACTGCGACCGGAGCCCCGCCGCCCGTCCCGACCCCGGACGCTGGAAGGTGGGATGCTCATCTGCGTGAGACTTCTGAGACTGCGACCGAGCCCGCCGCCCGTCCCGACCCCGACGCTGGAAGGTGGGATGCTCATCATCTGCGTGAGACTTCTGAGACTGCGGCCGAGCCCCGCCGCCCGTCCCGACCCCGACGCTGGAAGGTGGGATGCTCATCTGCGTGAGACTTCTGAGACTGCGGCCAGCCCCGCCGCCCGTCCCGACCTCTGACGCTGGAAGGTGGGATGCTCTTCATCTGCGTGAGACTTCTGAGACTGCGACCGGAGGCCCCCGCCCGTCCCGACCCCGGACGCTGAAGGTGGGATGTTCTTCATCTGCGTGAGACTTCTGAGACTGCGACCGGAGGCCCGCCGCCCGTCCCGACCCCGGACGCTAGAAGGTGGGATGCTCTTCATCTGCGTGAGACTTCTGAGACTGCGACCGGAGCCCCGCCGCCCGTCCCGACCCCGACGCTGGAAGGTGGGATGCTCTTTATCTGCGTGAGACTTCTGAGACTGCGACCGGAGGCCCGCCGCCCGTCCCGACCGCGGACGCTAGAAGGTGGGGTGCTCATCATCTGCGTGAGACTTCTGAGACTGCGGCCAGAGCCCCGCCGCCCGTCCCGACCTCTGAAGCGGGAAGGCGGGCTGATGCCCGTCATCTGCGTGCGACTTCCGAGACTGCGGCTGGAGGCCTGCCGCCCGTCCCGACCCCGGACGCTAGAAGATGGGATGCTCTTCATCTGTGTACAACTACTGGGGCGACGGTTGGAGCCCCGTCTCGTGTTTCCCCACCTACCTCTGAGACGGGAGTTTGTGGGTCAGTAAAAACCTCTTATTCAACAGCACTGCCAACTGAACTGATCGACATGACGCCGTTCTCTGCAAGCGAGTACGACCTTATGTCACCCACCTGCTCTACTTCGAGGGCTTCAGTCCAGGATGCAGGGGACCATGGCACATGGACTTTTCCTGAGCACTTGATGTGCAATCAAACAGAGATCACGGCTCCCGAGAACCACCATTTGGAGGAGAACGAATACGGAGAACAGGGAGCTGAGTCTGATGTCAGCGACGGTGTTGAGGTGGCTCCGCCCCAGCACAGTTCTCAGTCGCGTACATCTCAGTCGGCGAGGAACGGCGCATCGTGCGGCGAAGTGCGGAAAAAAAATGTTTGCATATATTGCAAGCAAAAGAGAAATCTGATATGGCGCCATATCAAGACGGTCCACCGTGACGAGAAGGAAGTCAAGGATATACAGGAGTGTGATTCTGAGCAGGAACGAAAAATGAAAATCACCGTGATGATCAACAAAGGCAACATGGAGCACAACAAACTCGTCCTACAAAGGGGTGAAGGTGACATGATCTTGGGAAGGAAGTCGGACCAGGCGTCCGTGGACGACTACGTGCCATGTCCTTACTGCTATCTTTTTGTGGTTAAAACCAACATGATGCAGCACATAAAACATCACTGTGTGGCTCGCAAAACAGAATGCCCAGACATTCCCACGGTGCTGGCAGAGAGCCGGACGCTCCTGAGTGACGGCCAAGAAGAAAATACTGGGTATCACAAGGACATATTGTCTCGTATGCACGACGATGCAGTTACGAAGACCATAAAGAACGATGAACTCCTGAAGAAGTGGGGTGCCAACTTGCACGCGAAACTTGGAAGGTCGGGTTTTGCGCAGATAAGCCAGCGCCTAAGGATGATGGGCGAAGTTGTCCAAGCAGCCGGAAAGAGCATGCAAGAGCTGATCAATGGCGAAGGATTTGATACGGTTGTAAGTGCCACCAAATCCGTCTGTGGGTTTGAGCAGGACAAGCTAAACGCCCACACGGGGCTGCCCACATACAAAACTCCTTCAAAGGCCATGCGGATTGGAGGCGAACTACGACAGCTGGCTGCTCTCAAGAAGGGCATTGCGCTGATCAAGAAAGAAGAAAGCGAAGTGAAAGATGCTGAGGCGTTCTTGTATCACGTGGACCAATTCTGGAATGTGAAGATCAGCAGCGTAGCGCTGAAGAACCGCGAGTCGAACAAGTATGACAAGAAAGACATGCTGCCCTTTACCAGCGATTTGAAGCTTTTCACCGAAAAAATGAAGGAACGAGTGAAAGAAATGACAGAAAAGGGAATACATGGCATGACAGACTATGCAAGGCTGAGCAAAGCGGTTCTCGCCCGTTTGCTAGTATTCAACAAACGCCGTCCTAAGGAGCTTAGCAGCATCCTGCTGCAATCATGGATCAACCGAGAGATGTACAAACAAGAGACGGTAGAAGAAGTGAACAAGTCAATGGGTGAAACAGAAAAGAAGTTGTTCAACGAGCTCGACGTCGTCATGTCCCGCGGCAAGTGCGGGAACAAGGTCCCCACCCTGATACCGAGCGACTGCGCGGCTCCGCTGCAGCTACTGGTAGACAACCGGGAGACGTACATTGACAAGGATAACAAGTATCTGTTCGCAAACCCTCTGGCGAGGACTACAGGACACTACAACGCAGGCGTGGTGCTTAAAGAGCAGTTGTCGGACATGGCACTAAACAGGGCAGATCTCTTCCATGCAACAAAACTACGGAAATATTGTGCTACAACGTCCCAGATTCTAGAGATGGGTGAATTCGATATGGAGGTGCTCACCCGGCACATGGGACATGACAAAGACGTGCATCGTGGGTACTACAGACTGTCAGACGCTACTCACGAACTGACGCGTGCCTCCATCCTGATGATGAAGCTGGACGAAGGATGCCTCTCAAAATTAGCGGACGGAGCCTGGAGGAGATGCTCACTGAAGGTAACTAATCGTTTGTACATGTGCTAATCGTAACATCACCATTCGTCTGTCATTTTAGCAGACATTTCATGCAGTTAAAGCATTTTTGCAATGTAGTGTTAAAGAGGCAATGCAATAACACCATGAAGAGAATCGTACAGAGCGAAGGCAATGTAAGACCGTTAAAGTTCACTGGTACTACTAGGTTATATGCAGACCCATGGTGCTGTACTTCAGATTAAGGACGAGCGCGGATAGCCAAAGCAGTCCGGGTACCACCGTAGCACATATGTTCCGTTCAGCGTTTTTTTTCAGAAATGCTTGCCCATTATGGCAGGCACTTATTTTGCATCACACATATTCTTAAATCTGACAGAGACGGTTTTTCAGAGGACTTCGACGAGCCAGGCTCTGAAATGAGGGCGGTCCGGCTGATGATCGCCAAGAGGACGATGAAGGAGGTGAGGCGCATTCACTACATCTATAGTGTGTTCCATGTCAAGCTTGCGGCTGAAGTGCTCTGTTGAAGGCAGTGCGTGATTTCTGTGCATACATCTTACATTCTAAGACTCAAATTATTGAATGGAGTAGCGCGCTCAGCGAATTGCCTGGAACTGCCAAGGGGACTCCGACCGCAAGCTTGATATGGAACAGACTATAGTCCGGCCTGAAGTTTTATAGTGGGAGGGCAATTGCATAGGTGAGTTCATATGCATTTATTGAAGCACTGCGATCGATGCAGGATAATAAGCGTATCGCTCAATAACTGCATTGTCCATGCGAGAATGCCTTTACTCACGTCCGTCTGAGGAGGGAGGGAATCCGACCCATGGGTGATTTTTTTTTTTGCAATAGCAGCGATGGCGGCGTGAAGCGCCGCCCGCCACCCAACCTCGTCTACCCTCGGCCTCGTTTGCAATTTTGCTAAATCTGTTACATATGAAATGTCATATGCAAAAAAAGTATTTAAGCAACACTCACTGCGTCTCCTTTGGTGAAATCTTGAGCTTAACGTATTGAGACAAAATATTTTGATAAAGCTCGATAGGGCTTGTTCTAAGTTATCGAATGCTATCTTAATTGTTCTAGCTTTTATGTTTTTTTTTTCGAGACACGTAGCGTTTCGTGCTGAAAAGCGCCATTTTTATTTTTAATGCTGGCTTTTATCATGCAAACCCTCTAAATATTGATGTAGTTAGGGAGCGAGGACTCATGAGCCCCTTTCCCATGAAAATTTGCTGTTTTTAGTTCCATGGGAGCGAAACGTAAGTGGGGTCGTATCAAGCCCCCCCCCCCCCAGTCGTTCTTGTTCGGGGTGGCAAAAAAAAAGCAGTAGACAGGTGCAGGTTTAGGGGACGTCGTGCTAACGAAACGACAACTCAAAATCTTTAACAAGACATGAAGCGAAAAGATCTTTTTGGCCGGAGGAATCCAGAGCGTCGTAAGCCTCGTCGTAACTGCGACGTGTCGCAAGTTGTGTAGTAAGTCGTTTTTGGAGGGATCAATCGATGAGTAGCGTTACTTAAAGGGACTATCCCACCTTCTAAAATGTTATTAAAACCAGTTAAATTGTGCCCGACTTTATAGATTGGATGACCAGGAACACGGTTCTGGCATTTATTTTTCATTAAACATCTTAGACTTCCCATATTCCAAACACAAACTTTCAAATATGTGACGTCACAGCCCAAAATTACCTCCTTCCCCAGGCCACATTACTGTCATAAAGCAGATTCTTTTTACTTTGTAGGCACCACAACAAAGTTCAGACCAAGTTTTAAGCGATTTTTCAACGAACAAACCCATTTAAATCAGAACGACTAAACGAGGTGACGTCACACTAACGGTCGCTCCATGTTGAAGATAGGGCCTTGTACAAGGCCCATTTTCAAATGAAGGGAACGAATTTCTTCAACACCAGGAGGCCGCGGGGGTTGCAACCTAGATAGATATAGGTTTCTGAACCTCGCCGCAAACTTGGCTATCTCAACTCAAACCCCATGTTAAAGGTGGGATAGTCCCTTTAAGTAGTAAAGCCTGTCGCAAGTTGCCTGATTTGCGACACAACTTACGAATTTGAAATAGCAGTCGTAAGTTGTGTCGTAAGCTAACCTTGCTTTGAGGAAGAGGTCACAGGTCACAGGTCATTCGGGCCATGGTCACGAAATTTACATGGTTAGTGTAAAATTGTTTGAACTTGAGTTAAAATTTGGTTACAATCCGTTGACGCTAACGCGAGTTATAGAGCTTGAACCGACGGGTCATCTGTGAGGCCTCAATCCGTGCCAGCGAGTGTTAAAAATGGTGCATAATATGTTATATTCAAATTCATTGGGGTATTCAGGGATACAAAGCAGCCTTATATCATTCAGCAACTACTGGCGAGTCCAGAAAGGCGATCTTGGACGTTGCGAGGGGCATCCCCCAAAAGATTCTCCCAATTCCAAAAACGACGTGTCTCAGATGGCCCCCATGACTCCAATTTAGCTCTGTGATGACCCCAGTTGACCTCTGTGATCTGCCGTGTCTCAGATGACCTCCGTGACCTCCCATTGAGCTCTCTCATTACTCCGAGCTGACCTCTGTGACCTGACGTGTCTCAGATGACTTCCGAGTTTTGTGATGACCCCAAGTTGACCTCTGTGACCTGACGAGTCCTATATGACCTCCAATTGAGCTCTCTCATGACTCCGAGCTGACCTCTGTGACCTGACGTGTCCCAATTGAGCTCTGTGATGAGCCCAAGCTGACCTCTGTGACCAGACGTGTCCCAGATGATCTCAAATTGAGCTCTGTGATGACCCCAAGTTGACCTCTCTGACCTGACGTGTCCCAGATGACCTCTATGACCTCTAAGTGACCTCTGATAACCCCAAGCTGACTTCTGTGACCTGACGTGTCCCAGCTGATCTCAAATTGAGGTCTCTGATGACCCCAAGTTGACCTCTGTGACCTGAAGTGTCCCCAGATGGCCTACAATTGAGCCCTGTGGTGACCTCAAGTTGACCTCTGTGACCTGACGTGTCTCATATGACCCCCATGACCTCCAATAGAGCTCTGTGATAACCCCCAAGTTGACCTCTGTGACCTGACGTATCTCAGATGACCCATATGACCTCCAATTGAGCTCTGTGATGACCCCAAGTTGACCTCTGTGACTTGACGTGTCCCAGATGACCTCCGTGACCTCCAATTGAGCTCTTTGATGACCCCAAGCTGACTCTTGTGACCTGACGTGTCCCAGTTGACCTCCAATTGAGCTCTGTGATGACCCAAAGTTAACCTCTGTGACCTGACTGTCCCCAAGTTGACTTCTGTGACCTGACGTGTCCCAGATGACCTCTGTAACCTCCAATTGTGACCTCCAACTTCAACTCTCTTACCTCTCTGTGACTTCAAACTCTCTGAACTCATTTCTTCTAAAGCATAGCTTCTAGATGCTCTTTAGCCACGAATCTCCTGTGATCGACCCCAAATTTTATGGCAAATTATGTGAGCGTTAGCGATCACAAGTCACCCAGTTGAGACAAAGCTTCAGAATCAGAGAACATGCTTGACCTGGCTGTCTCATAAGCTCTCAAACCAGAAAGGCGAATGTTCCGTTATGCGTGATAGAGTTTTCGACCTTACTGACGTTTACTACGGGATCAGCTGATCGTGTAGCCTTTTAACCCGCGCACCGACGGGGGTCTGCGCCAACTTAGTACCGACGGGGGGGGGGGCGGATGACCGCCCCCCCCCTGAGATCTCGAGAACGAAGCAAGATAGCGACAAGCGGTAAACGGCATCGGATACGCACGGTCAAGATCTACAATTTTTACTAAGGTCATTTTCAGGTCAGGTCAAATGACGTCACAGGGGTCGAAAAAGTCAAAATGGCGGCGCTAAATATGGAGATAGTTTTTCTCGAATAACTTTCGAATTAGTCGAGATAGGAACAAACTAAGGGCCTCATCGTGATCCTCTCGTCAATCCGCATCGAATGATATATGTTGACCTCGAAAGGTCAAGGTCAAAGGTTGACCTCAGGTCACGTGACCTCGAGGTCATCATGTATATCATTCGATGCGTCTTGACGAGCTGAACACAATGAGACCATCCACGCGTCTGTATCTTGTTCCTGTACGGAGTTATTGGCCAAAAACCTTTGGTGACCTTTGATGACGTCACATGACCTCACAGCTGCCCAACAGCAAAACAGACCTCAAGGTAGTGAAGGTTGATCGTATATGAAGTCATGTATGGTATATGGGGCCATTCCGACCCGTTTTAGTGGTAAAAACAGGGAGTTGATTTTTCCCCCATTGACTTATAATGGGGAGGTCGCGAAATTGACCTGACCTTAGGTCACCGATATCAAAATTCCGAGATATACAAATTGTAGCTACTAATGACCTAATAACATCCTGCGACTTTCAAAGGCCTCCGACATCTACTGTAGCTCTGGCACGGTGACAAAGTTGCAAAAAAGTGACTTGAGGTTGGGTCATTCAAAGTGACCTGGTGACCTGACCTTGAAAGGTAGGAGGTTCAAACTTGCACACCATGTGTAAAATTGATAAGGGAATAGTCATACCAAATTTCGCGGCGCTACGCGCCACGGTTTTCCCGCTATTCGCGAAAAACCTCAGGGGGGCGGATATCCGCCCCCCCCCGTCGGTGCGCGGGTTAAATTCTCGAGTAAAGCGGGTATTTAAGCCTCGTCGTAGCTACGTTCTGTCGTATCCTCCGACAAACCCCTCTTTCCTCAACATCCCTCCTTTTTCGCTACGACACAACTTGCGACGGGACATGTGTCGTAACTTGCGACGTGTCGTAGATGGACTTGCGACGCCCCGGCCAAATTTATGTTCTCATGCATAACCATGTAATGTTAACAGAATTACATGGTTAAGTGTTCTAT